TTGCATCTCTCTTTTTAAGGGGAGAGAACAAACTTGGTCTAGAGTAGATTCATTTTTTATTGAGTCACATATTCTAATATGATTGATCTTCAAAATCTGATTACTCCTTCTTGAAAAAGCAGTGGGTTTAAGTAAGTACATTTCTTTCTAGGTTTCATAGGAAGAATATTTATATTGGTCGATGCATGCTGCACATTAGACTTGCAGGGAGAAGCAGTCATGGAAAAATGTATTTTCATGATGCTTTACTTACTGAATCCTACTTTATTAAATGTTAATCACTAACATGCATTCACAATAAGAATTCCATGCTTTAATATAGTATCCATCTCAGAGTACAACTTATCAGCTTAGATTTGCCCCTCAAGAATGCCTGGGTTCTAGACTCAACTATTTCACTAACTAGCTGTGTAGATTCAGGCAAGCCAGTTTGGGGGACTGTTTTTTCATTTGCAAAATGAAATTGTCCATAGTGGTCCTTAAGGTGACTTCTAAATATAAAATTCTGTGGTTCTAGGAATTTAAATATAATTCAGAAGAAAATTGGAATCTATGGAAGGTTTATGACTCACAATCTGATGGAAGCTCATCTTTTCAGTACCATTAAATAGTTACACTGACTTGGCAATGGTCCTGGGCAATTAGTTAAATTCCCTATCGAGAATTGCTGGAAGGACAGTTTTTTTTCACACAGGTTGGACAATTTAATCCATCTCTGAGTAAAAGTGTTACTGTTTTCATTTTAAATAAATGATTTTAATCTTAACCGACAACTTTACACACCCCTGCTGAGGACATCTAATGCATTAAATAATGCCACCCTTTATCTGGGTAAATCCTCTATTCTTTTAGATACAAAGCCATGTCAAAGGAATACAATCCATTAGGAGATATTCATGTGACAGAACCAAAGAAAAGCCCTTTGTATTACTACAACGAGCAAAGGCAACTGGGAACTCAGGCTGAGACATCAGATAAGTAAATCAGGCTTCTGCCAGATTCTATCAGTTGCGTCAACCAAGCACGGGTTGGCTAGGTGTCCCGACTACCCACTGTGGAGATTATCTGAGGACGTGCTTCTCACCTTCTCTCCTTGGCTTTTGTATCTTATATGTCATTTTGTCAGGATCTGTAGAGACCTAGGAAGGAAATGAAATGGAAAACAACCATTTTTTTCTTTCCTAAAAACTTACATAAATTACTCAGCTGGGAGAAAGTTTGAAATTGTTAATTTGAATGTGGATTAGAATTGTTGGTACATTTCACCCATTCATCTTATTTGTTTTCTCTACAACTGCTATTGAAAGTTGACTGTGGAGAAGAGAATAAAATTGTTGTTCTAAATACAATGGAAGATGTTATCATATAGAAGATAAAATGTTCATATGAGATAAGTTCATATGAGCAATTATTTTAAATTCTAAGAATATTAGTGATGAGGTATTTCGGAATAAAATTGTGACTTTTCTTCCTAGAGGATTTCAGGTTATCTTTAGAGAATATCAAAGGGGTGCTCTTCTATGTGAAAGGTTACAAAACACTTGAGTATCTCTTTATGAAGTGATCTATTGGACATGGAGAAAAACAAACCTTTTACAGTATTAACATATAGTACTTACTTGGGAGCTTTTGAAGAGAACTTAAATCATAGACTTGTTGTATGTCTTGGTCTTGACTTTTCTGTGCCTCAAATAAGTAATAAATTTTTAAAATTTATTTTCTGATATAGAGTATTATAATATTTTCTGTAGGAATGATTCTGTTAAAATCTTTATATTTATTTTTCAGCACTTAATCTGAAAAGGAATTAAGAGCATGTAAAGGCATTATAGAAAGATGGAAAAGCCTGGAAAAAAGACTAGAAACAAAAAGAGAGATTAGAGTTCAAAAAGATAACTGAGTTTGAGAAGTGATCAGTAATAAAATATTTATGCATACATGTATGGGTAAGGTATGTGTAGAAGAAATAAGTATCACAAAGTAAAATAGAAAAAGTTGATTATGTGAATGGATAGGTGAATTTGGGGATAAAGGTCAATAAGATATAGGGTCCCTGCTCTACTGGAATTACAATTTACTGGGAAAGTGAAGGGTAGGAGATAATATAGGTAAACGGTTAATTGTAACAAGTTAAAAGTTGCAAACACACTAAAAAATAGAATGTTCTGCTGCCCTGGATGGGTGGCTCAGTTGGTTGAAGCATTGCTCTGTGCACCAAAATGTTGCAGGTTTGATTTCTGGTCAGGACACATACCTCGGTTATGGGTTTGATCCCTGGTTAGGGCGCATACAGGGAAGCAACCAGGTGATGTTTCTCTCTCACATTGATGTTTCCCTCTTTCTCCCTTATTCTCTCTAAAAAACCAATAGAAACATGTCCTCAGGAGAAGATTTTAAAAAACGGAATGTTATTGGAATTCGGAAGTAAAAGAGGGAAGGACGTGAAGCCTGAGGCCTGGTAGGATTTGACCATGGAAGAGGGGAAAAAGCTAGGGGAGAGGTGGAGGTTGCAGGTGAAGAAAAGAAGGGCTCATTAGGCATGGGTTCCCGAGGGAAGCAGGGGAGAGCTGGGACTGAAAGTCTAGGTAGAAGAGCTCGCCTTGGCAAAGAGGACACTTCCTTCTTAGGTTGTTACAGAGTCTGTGGATGCAGGAAGTGCCTTCTTTTTATTGTTTGCACTGAGAAGACAGTAAAATACTGCAATGAAAACTGGTCACAAATCAAGAAAGAGTTTTCTTTAAAAATTAGAGAATGGTATCATCTATTCTCTACTTAGAGAAAAATCAAGAGAAATGAATATAATATGTCAGTCAAGATATTAACAAAGGAAATTATCAGTCTTATTCTCTCTCTCACTCTCTTTTTTTTTTAATTATTCTTAAAAGGGATATGTTTGATTCTGGTACTTATGGGTATGTCCTCATGCTTTTTTCTAGCATGCTGGGCCTGGTGACTTTGGAATGCTACAGTCAGACTCAAAAGATTGCCTGTAGATGAAGGCATGTATTCTCGCGTAGAGTATGACCAGTCCAGACAAAAATAGAGAGGTGCTATTTTTTCTCAAAAGTAGAGATGTCAGGAAACTGAGATTTTAATTTCAGCCTGATAATTAATTAGTTCTGATTTTGAGCAAACCTTTTAACTCCTGTATGTCTTAGCTTCCTTTCTTTAAAAAAAATAAAATGAAAAGGGTGCTCATAATAATTTAGATTCTTTTAGCCTTAAAATTAAATGATTCTAAAAATATATGGAATATTACCTATTTTACTCATGGTAAAGTCACAGAATATGTTTTTTTAAGTTAATGTTTCCCTTGCTTAAACTTTATGAAAACATTTTGTCTACTACTCAAGTAATTGGGGCCTCTGATAACTTTTGAAAGTTTTATAAAAACTCAATTGATGTTGCATATGTGGATGCTAAACTTAGAAAGGACTAAGTTAGATTGCCTTCATAGTAAATCTTTCTCTGCCTGTAAATTTCATTCACTTGGGAACTGCAGTAACTCAGGCTACTATTAGCCACTTGATAACTTGTTACTCACAAGCATTCTTCTTCTTTTTAGGAATTGAAAGAGTTAACTAATACTGTTTGAAAATTTGACTCAGTTGAGACCTTCTTGTATTTCTGGTTTTATAGTTTTGATAGTCAATTTAGCCCTTCAAATAAGTCACTTTATATTAATTACTGTGGGCAGAAAATATGAGTAAATGAATTTTGTTTGATTGAATTGATTATCATATTTTATTCATTTGAGTAGACTTCCTTGTTAGACTGGAAGCTCCATGGAGATAGAAATGTGTCTGGTTTTGCTCATCAATGTATCCTATCCCTTGTACTTTCCATAGTGCTTACGCATAATGGCTGCTTAATAGATAGAGATTTGTTAAATGAATAAATGATAGGATTTTACTTCTATGGAGTTTTTAAGCACTAAAAGTTTGTGACTCAATGTTCCTTTCCATTTGAAAATTTGTAATCATAAACCACTTTATGTGTGGAACTGATTATACAAGACTACAATCTGTTCAACAGCATTTGACATGAAAAATGTCTTGCCTAAGACTTTTTATGCCCACTGTGAATTCGGCCTTGAACTAACTCCCTTCAGAATATTGAGCCAGACAGATAAACAAGGAATAGCCAGATGAAACGGGACAGTATTTATTGAGAGTTGAAGAAATTTAGGAAGCGTTAGTTTGCCTATCAGTTTGCCTTTCTTTTTTCATTTCTTCTAAAGGGCCCCAATCCTTATCTTTCTGATCATAATTTCTTTACCTACTATTATCTTTCCTTTTCTTCACATACAGATTTTTCTTTTCTTCATCTCTCCAACAGTTGTCTTATTCTCTTATGTTACTGAATATATTAATTACCTCTTGGGCATATTTGTTTTCTATGCAAAGGTGGAGGACAGGGGCAACCATTTCAGTGTTGGTTCCTATAAACTTTACTGAGTTGGTTGCTCTGAGATCTGACCCACTCCTCATTATTGCTAATGGAGTGGACACCCTTCTAGAGGGAGGATCAGACCTCTGGCATCTTTGGGCCATCCAAATCCAAGGTGCCAACTTCATTGATATGTCCATTAGTCTTTTAGCTCATCAGATTCTCTATTCCGATCTCATTGCTGTTATTCCAATGCCACTTGCCTTGATGTTGTTGTACTAAGTTTTGGGATGAGGGAGTGGAATAAGAGTTGTTCATGAATGTTGTCTTGGGCTTAAAGAATGTGTATACATTTGTTCAACAGTTATTTGTTTGACATGCATTGGGTGAGATGCATGTTACATAACTAGAGCAACCGTAAGGTAGGTGACTCACGCTGAGTGTTAGAATGGGTGGCAGTTGGAGCAAAGATTATCCTCTCTTCACCCATGGTGAAGGCTATGGGTCCCCATTACTGACCATATCATCCGGGTCTCTCTGTATGTACTCCTTCCAAAAAGCCAGTTTAAGGATTTCTGACAACAACCTTTTTTATCTTTTTTTTGTGACAGATGATTCAAGAGAGCCGGTTTCTCATAGAAATGGCTGACACCATCCAGGAAAAGATTGTGCAGTGCCAAAAAGCAGGTAATCTCCTCCCTCCCTCACTCATAACTGACAGATTAAAAAAAAGTTTGTGTTCTTACTCTTAAAATTCAAATATTTTATGACATAGTTTATACTTTGAGTTACCCTTAAGTCTTTGTTTAGTGCAGAGTGTATATATGGGGGATGATGTCTGAGAGGTGAGAGTTCTGAATCTGCTTTTGTGGTTTGGGAGCCTATCAAAACCTTTTACTGCTGGTATGGGAGCTATGGTTCCACATTGCTGCTTAAGAACCACTTTATTTTTACAATTTGAACCATAATCCTTTTCATTTTCTAGGCTTTTGCCTCATTTGTTCATCCTAATTTCAGAATGTCCTTCTTTTGAGGATGGGATGGGTTGTATATGGGTTACGTATCTGTGAGGGCACACCTCTATTTATGTTTATTTTCATCCAAACCCTGTACCTTTATTTTTCTTGGATCTGTGTCTCCTTGATGTCTCCACACATGTAGTAATGATTATGACAAGGATGATGACAATAATGACAATTGCTTGATAAATGTGCATATATACATACATATACACTCAGCACAGATGCTATGTTAATTAGTCCATATAACAACTCTGCAAGGTAATTATCATCATATCTAATCTACAGGTGAGGCATCTGAGATTCTCAGAGATTGAGTGAATTACCCAAGACCCCATATTAAAACATGGTAGAGCTTACCTTTGAAGCTAGACCAAACTTTAAATAACGGCGCTCTTTTATGACTGACAATCAGGCTTACATGTTTCAGGTGATAGGAAGCACAAAAACAGTAGTAATACCAAATTCTTGTATAATGCTCCTATGTGCCAGGCACTACTTTGAGAGCTTTATATGTATCGACATATTTAATCTTCACTACCAATCCCTTGTGGTAAACACTCCTGCTATTGCCATTTTACCTATGAGGCAACTGGGTCATGGAGTTTCAGAGACCTGCTCATGCTCACATACTTGGTAAGTGGTGGAGACAATCAATGTACGTCCAGGCTCCACAGTCATGCTCTTACCAGGTGCGATGTTTGAGATGTTGGCACCGGGAAAGTTAACATGATTTTAGGCTGCATTAATAAAAGCAGAGTGGCTAGAACAAGTAGGGTGGTGGTAAATCCCTCCCTCATGTGGGCTGTTTCAAGCCCACTCTAATAAATGTTCCTGGTTTCAGGTCTCTGCAAGCTTCACTCTGGGAAGTTATGTAATGCAGTAGCCCTGCCTGGATGTCATCCTTAAACAAACAAAAGACATTATTAGTCAGATGAAACATATTAGAATGTTTAATCTGGAGAAGAGAAGACTCTAGTGGACTTTAATATTGTTCTTAAAATATTCAAAGGGCTGCTCTGGGAAAATGAGGCTAGAATTTGTTGGCCTGGGTGTAGCTAGCACCACAGAATGAATTGATATTCCAGGGTAGGGAAGCTTTGGCTTGATATTGGTCATAGCCCTTCAAAGATGGAATGAGCTGTCCAGGAGAAATGATGATTCCCATTCTTGAAGTTCCAAGGCAAAAGCTGAAGAAAGAGATCATGGTGATGTTTTTTTATAGTATTCAAGCTTGAGAGAATGGTTGAGCTAATAATCACTTTAAAGTCATTCCCAAATCTGAAACATTTGGATGTTTCCAGGAATGCTATTTTTAAAAAATCTTTTTATTTTTACTCAACACATTAATTATTACTATTGTTATTGATGTGGGCTTCAGGGCCTACTGTCAAGCTATGTAGACAGTTCATAGGAAAAGAGAGATATTTGCTTCCATTGCATATGGTGGCCATTCACACATTACACCATTTCATATAAAAATCAGGCAAACAAGATGGATGTAACCTATTGAAATAATTTGCTTCTTACCTTCTCATGTCTTTGTCTATGGCTCCTGGCTGTTTAAAATGTACTTTACTCTAATGCATTGATTAGTTTTTCCATAAGTCCAGCCATTTGGTGGGGATGAACAGAATGGGAAAGACAATTTAATTAAGGGATTTAGAAATCATAAGAGAAGGACAGGAATGGGAAATTATATTTTTGCTGATAATATTTAAAAAAATGCCTATTTTTCGTCAATTTATACTAAGAATTCTTCCATGCTCTTTTTTCAAAGGGATGGAGTTCCATGAAGAACTTCATAATCTGGGGGCAAAAGAAGGCTTGAAAGGAAGAAAACTCAACAAGGCAATTGAGAGCTTTGCTTGGAACATTACAGTACTGAAGGTAAGTGAAATGCCTAGGTGCCCTTTTTCCTTTGTTTTTTTCCTCTTTTCATCTCTTCAGCCTGTAGAGAAGCATTGATGGTTAAGTACAGTGATTTGCATTTTAAGTAATGTGTGACCTAATCACTAGGTTCACGCTCTAAGCGTTGGGGAGATGCATACTGGGACTGACACGCTTTTTGCTCTAGCAGGGCAACGGGGTTTGTGGTGGAGTCAGAGGAGAGCACAACCTAATTCTATTGCCTGGTGTTTGTGCGTGTGTGTTTTTACTCATATGAATACTTCTGCACAAGTCAGTGTAGTTGTTCTTGTTTGTGAAAAGAAAAAGGCCAAATGTTGCAGGGAAAGAACCCAATGCAAGTGATTTAGAGGAGACTTAAGCAGTAGAATATCTGGAGCCATTTAGGATTATTTTATTTTAAGATCAGACTTTATAAATACATTTATTTTTGCAAATAGCTTTGGAAGTCATTTTCTTGAGATTATGATTTGCTCTGCTGAATATTAATTTCAGGATTTTAAGTAAAGATGCCACTTCTCATATTTTCTTACATGAAAGAAGAAGTGTTTTAAGCAGCTGGAATAATTTGCTTCTGACAGTGTGATAGGAGAAAAACAACCCAAACAAAATGAATCATTGCTGATATTTAAAGAACACATACTGTGTGCCAGGTGCTGTTTCATAAGATTCATACCACTGAACATTTTAGTACTCACAACAACCATATACTGTTGTTATTCTCATTTTACAGGTAAGAAAACTTGAGGCATTGAAAACTTGTGTGTATTGCCCAAGGTCACTCAGCTAGTAAATGGTGGAGCTGGAGGTGGAACCCAGGTGGTCTGCTCCAGAGCCTGTGTCTTTCATCTGCTCTGCAGAGAGATGCTGCACATATTTATGTGAAAATGCTAGGTGATCTGTAAGACATATCACAAATGTTTATTAAAAATTCAATTCACAGATATTTGTTGAACACTGCTGTGTACTTGGCTCTGTGCTAGGCATTGGGGATCCATGGAGCACAAGAAACATAGAGACCCTGACCTTGTGAATTAATAGTCTGGGGGTCAAGGGTGGGATGGGGGGATAGGCATAATTTGCTTAATGGGCAGAGTGGAGATATCACATTAATATATATTATAAACTAATATATATTAATATGTAAAAAGAAGCTCATTATAACACTAGTGTACAATGTGGGAGTGTGTTCCTGATGCAAATGCTTTCCATTCAGCAGATATTTATGCAGGGTTATTAATGTGCTGATCCCTGAGAAAGGTGCTGGGATCCAAGCAGAAAAGAGTAATACCTGAACCTCCAGGACTAGCCTACAAGGAGTGACAGACCTATAACTAATAATGGCCATTGATTATTCGGCACTTGATATGTGACAAGCACGCATAGCTAACTAATTTATATATTTCCCCTTTGCTCTTTGCGGCAACTGTGTGACCTTGAAGTAGCTCAGGCTGTTTCTGATATCTCATCTTTCCCATCTCACGGATGAGGGAATTGAGGCCTGGGGAGGTTTAAGTGTCTTGCCTTCAGCTAGTAAATGGCACAGCTGAGATTTGAACTCATGCCCATGGTTCTAACCATTATCCTGTCCTCGTCTCCTGTGAAACTTAGTCCGCGTGACTCAGTCCAGGAGCCAAGAGTGTGGGTGAAGGCACAGGGTCTGTGTGCAAATTGTCTGGTGAGGCTTTAGCCAAGTTACGTAATCTCTCCGAGGGTGATAATAATGTCTACACCCAGGGTTTAGTGAGAATTAAATGGGATGATACATACAAAAGATCTAAGTCACAGTTTGGTGGGCTTGTTAATCAGGTTTCCCTTCTGCACATAGTGGGCAAATGATCTCCTTAGAATTTGACATTTTAGCTGAGAGACAAAGAGACTGGGCTTTGCTTAAGCCTGTTTATTTCAGGGGTGTCTCTGAAAAGATCCTCTTCTGTTTCTTTTATTTCCTTTATTTCCGTATCTTAGTTCCTGCTTTGTTCTCCAGCCTTCCTATTGATTTTTCAGAGCTCCTAAAAGTCTTCCAACACATGTCCCTTCACTTAAGTTTGTGAGGGTCAATTTCCATTGGTTACAACTGGTTGAATTAGTAATAACCACACTGGTAGGATATAATCACTGAATTAGTAGGACATGGCAGGGATCACCTATAAAATTCTGCATTGCTTGTTGAAAAGGTTTCCTTACACACTAATTTACACATGTACTCCTCACTATCTAGGGGAGAGAGTAGAGATTGACCAATGTTAGTTGAGTATGTGGGTTTGTGTAGCTAAAAATATTTAATTCCAATGTAATTTTCAACAAGTAAGGGAGGAGTTGGCAACAGTGAGAAATGTGCCTTCAGGTGAATGGTGGGTTGGTAGCATAGAGTAGTAGAAAGGGACATTGGCTTTAAAGTAAATTGAGCTGAGACTACAAAATAAATCCCTTAGTTTTATGTTTTCTAAAATGTAGTGTTACACTAATCTGATATTAATAAATGGCAGGGAAGCTGGGGAAAAATTTTCAGAGACAAAGATGAATCACTCCATAATATAATGCTTATGAATTGTAATTACTGTGTCTAAGCTTTCTAAGCCAGAAGTCAGGACTTAGAATCCATCAAGGAGGCTGAAAGCAAGATGGTCCTGGAAGCTATCGTAAATGTGTTTTTCTCTCATTCACAGTTTAGCACCACGCATGGGCCCAGAGTAGGGACTTTTTTAGCAGATCTTTTGCATTTCCCCACACTTTTACCGTATGCCAATACCCAATAATACCTGTCCTTTTCCTCTCCCTTTCTTTCTCTTTCTCTGCTGAGCACAAAATCCAACTTCTTACATAGCCACCACGTTCATTCGAGTCCAGTGGTGATGCATGTCTTGCGACTCAGTCTTCAGTATCTTTTCCAGATAATCACTGGACCAAGACAGCTCCATCTCACCTCATCCTCACACATAAACAGTTTCTTTCATCTGTCTTTTCTCCATCATGGCCTTCAGAAGTAAGTTTTGTTTGGTTATGAAACACAATATTAAAATCTTACAATGGAATTTTTCCTGTTCTTTAAGTCTTCCAGAAAAAGATACTGCAACTTCACTTGTATAGCCAACCTATTGTGGTCATTATCATTAATTTAGAAGTGTTTCACTCATGAGAATTCAAGATCTCTTGCAGGAGAAAAATGAATTATACTGTGTCACTGACAAAACACAATATGCTGTAAAGTAGAATTCATTTAAAGTCTTGGGTGGCTCCAACCACAGTGTTTTGACTCTTTAGATAAGGAAAGAACTTTATTGCAGTGTGGATGCACCTGTAAACCTGAAATGTGAAAGAAACTGGAGTAGCATTTGAGTGAGTTTTCCCAATATTTATTTTTATAACTTGGCCGGTTGACTGTTTTAAGGAAATAAATTCCTTTATCTTTGTATTTGTAAAATTTTGATAAAAAATTTATTTTAGCAGGCTGTAGGTGTCAAGTAGATATACACATAAAAATAATATTGAAGAAAGTTTATAATTTAATGCATCTCAGTGTGTACCCTAAAAACTGAGTCTCTTTTATAGATTTATGTTCAGTCAATATGCCTAATCTTTTTCCACCTAACTTCTTGGCTTTTTATCACTGCTTAAGCCTTTGCTCCTTTTGCTTTTATCTTGACAACACTTTCATTTTCCTTGGGAAGAGCAGAAGCTGAAGCATCTGACTTCTCCTCTTTGGGCACTTGTGTTTCTAAACCAGGTAGAGTCTCTCATCCAATCCCCAAATTTCAGGCACTCACAACTCTGTGGAATCTTACTACATCTGGGAGATTACATGGATGTCAGTGCAGTACTATCTTTTTAATAGAGCTTGCAAACACTTTTGAAGTCTCTGCTCATTGTTGAAACAAAAGAAGAGGGGAAACAAGATGATGGGCTAGTGGGAAAATAAGTATTAGGAGAGGTATCCTTCTCTGAAAGACTAAAGGACAGCAAGAGTAGGGTTACCCTTAACTGAATGGCCATAGATATTTTAAATCATTCTATGAGATCCTGTGTAGGTGTGGGGGAGGGGCCATCAAACCAGGCTCTCTGGCAGCCATAGTAGCCAAGCCCCTGGGGGCTGTTCTGGTTATATATAAAGAAGGGGCACGTCCAGTGTCCTCTGTGTTGTCCATTCAAAACTCCAGTGGTGTTTTTGGCAGCTGCTGGCTATTGTTGCAGTAGAAGCTGGAGAAAGATTCAGTTTTCTCCTGAGCCAACTCATTCAGAAAAGAATAGTTATTTATAACAATGTCTCGAAACAGATGCTTAGTGATAATGATGCATTAATCATAAACTATTCTTTATATTGATATTACTATCAATTATTAAAAACATAAAGCAAAGTGGTTAAGAGTACAGACTCTGGAGCCAGATACTTTCTAGCTATGTGGCCTGGGGAAAATTTCCTTTTGTCCCTTTGCTTCTGAATCAACGAGGATATGCTAGGTTGTGCTATGGTAACAAAAATCTAAAAATCTCAGTGACTTAAAACAATGGGTTATTTCTAGCTCGCAGTGTTTGTCTATCATGGGTCAGCAAGGGCTACCTAGGAACTCAGGCTAATGGGGGCTCTATCTTAACGAACACTATAGTCCTTGAGGCCAGGAGGCACAGATTGGTTTTAAACGCTTCTGCCAAGTAGTGTCACGTGTCCCCTTCTGGTCACATTTTTGATTGACAAAACGAAGTCAAATGGTCAAATTTGACTTCAATTTAGTGGTGCAAGGATGCACTTTCTCAAGAAAAAGGAGCAGATACTAGTGAATATAATCTACCAGCAGCAGGTTCTGCAACTACACCTGCCTCATTGGGTTATAGTGAGAACTAAATGAATTAATAAAGGAGTGACGACAAGAGTTACGAAGCAATGCCTGGTGTATAAAAATGCTGTCGTAAGTGTGTATTAATTTTGTTATTAATAAAAAGCCTTCAGTACTTACAGTGAGCAGTTAGGTGACTCTCATACAACA